CAACACTCTTCTATGTGGCCCTGGGACCGACCACACCCATGGGTCGGGCCCCCCCCCCCTCACGCCGCCTTCCGCTCCGGGAGCCAGAAGCGTTGCTTGGAGGTTTGCACCTAACAGCGAAGACTAATAGGTTTCTAATGGGGTCAAAAGAGAGCCTCTGATGACTCCCCAGGGGGGTCTGGGCGGGAGCCGGACAGGCGAGGGCCGGGCTCGTTTTAAGCAAACAGTCACACACTTCGTGCTCTTCGACCTCCCAGAACTCCATTCCCGGGCCACATTTTGAATGCCCGGAGCCAACTGTAGGCCACTTCGTGCTCTTCGACTTCCCAGAACTCCATTCCCGGGCCACATTTTGGATGCCCGGAGCCAACTGTAGGCCACTTCGTGCTCTTCGACTTCCCAGAACTCCATTCCCGGGCCACATTTTGGATGCCCGGAGCCAACTGTAGGCCACTTCGTGCTCTTCGATTTCCCAGAACTCCATTCCCGGGCCACATTTTGGATGCCCGGAGCCAACTGTAGGCCACTTCGTGCTCTTCTTCCCAGAACTCCATTCCCGGGCCACATTTTTTCTGTAGGCCACTTCGTGGTTCTCCCAGAACTCCATTCCTGGGCATGATTTTGAATGCCCGGAGCCAACTGTAGGCCACTTCGTGTTCTTCGAGTTCCCAGAACTCCATTCCTGGGCCACATTTTAAATGCTGAGGCAGGCTGATGCTGAGGCTGAGGCAGGCTGAGGCTGAGGCAGGCTGAGGCTGAGGCCGAGGCTGAAGGCAGCCGCAGGCTGAGGCTGAGGCTGAGGCTGAGGCTGAGGCTGAGGCTGAGGCTGAGGCTGAGGCTGAGGCAGGCTGAGGCTGAGGCTGAGGCAGGCTGAGGCTGAGGCAGGCTGAGGCTGAGGCCGAGGCTGAAGGCAGACTGAGGCAGGCTGAGGAGGCTGAGGCTGAGGCAGGCTGAGGCTGCAGGCTGAGGCAGGCTGATGCTGAGGCAGGCTGAGGCTGAGGCTGAGGCTGAAGGCAGGCTGAGGCTGAGGAGGCTGAGGCTGAGGCTGACTGAGGCTGAGGCTGAGGCAGAGGCTGAGGCAGGCTGAGGCTGCAGGCTGCAGGCTGAGGCTGAGGCTGAGGCTGCAGGCTGAGGCTGAGGCTGAGGCTGAGGCTGAGGCTGAGCTGCAGGCTGAGGCTGAGGCTGACTGGCCTGAGGCTGCAGGCTGAGGCTGAGGCAGGCTGAGGCTGAGGCTGAGGCTGCAGGCTGAAGGCTGAGGCTGAGGCTGAGGCTGCAGGCTGGCTGAGGCTGAGGCAGGCTGAGGCTGAGGCTGAGGCAGGCTGATGCTGAGGCAGGCTGAGGCTGAGGCTGAGGCAGGCTGAGGCTGAGGCAGGCTGAGGCTGAGGCCGAGGCTGAAGGCAGACTGAGGCTGAGGCTGAAGCAGGCTGAGGCTGAGGCTGAGGCTGAGGCTGAGGCTGAGGCTGAGGCTGAGGCAGGCTGATGCTGATGCAGGCTGAGGCTGAGGCTGAGGCTGATGCAGGCTGAGGCTGAGGCAGGCTGAGGCTGAGGCCGAGGCTGAAGGCAGACTGAGGCTGAGGCTGAAGCAGGCTGAGGCTGAGGCTGAGGCAGGCTGAGGCTGAGGCAGGCTGAGGCTGAGGCTGAGGCAGGCTGAGGCTGAGGCTGTGACTGCGACTGCCGTTGCCACTGCGACTGTCATCGCGAATGCGACTACGACTGCGAGAACAGCAGAATTCTACAACAGGATTCTCATCTGAATCTTAAGGGGAATGCTTCCAGATATGCTCCTACACATCGCTGTTAGGTTGCTTTGCCGGGATATTTTTGTTTGTACCCAGGCGTGGCTCTCCTGGGGAGAGTAACAGCCAGTGCCAGCAGACACAAACAAATGCATCACAAGCAGCGAGCGCAAGAACAAGCACAACCAGCCAACCCTGTCAAACAAAACTGCACATGGCAGCCACACCAGCAAACAGCAACGAGACACATTCAAACACGCCACAAGACAGCCGAGCTTGCCCAAAGACAGAGTCGAGGGCCCCCATTGGAGTCTCAGAAGCCCAGAGAAGGGTTCCAGACTCTCCCAAAGGACCACAAGATGGCCTCCAGACGGCCCCAGGGGTCCCCAAGACGGCCCAAGAGGGCTCCACGAGGACGAGCAAGAGGCCGTCGAGAACAAACGTGAATGCTAGTCCTCCGGGTTCTACATCGTTGAACGTAGTGGCCCTTCCCCCACGAGGGCTCCAAAACAGTCCAACAGGGTCCCGAGAGGGCCCTAAGACGGCCCAACACGTACCCAAGACGCCAAAGAGATGCCCAAGATGGGCCGAACGAGGGTAGATCAATTTTGCACTGGCAGCCTGTTCCTACAGGATTGCATCCGAGACATATAACATTGAAGGGGCCCTGGGGCACACAAAAAAATACACACGAATAAAAGGATTCCTTACATTTTCCCATAATTTCTGGTTTTTTGATTTCCCCCCCACTGCCCATCTTTTCTCACATTTTCTGGGGGATCGACGATTAATTTTGTCGGTGTGTGTGTTTTCCCCTTCCTGGATTTAACATGTCCCCAAGAGGCCCCTGCGAGTCCCCCAGAAACCTCCAAACAAAGTTACCCGGGAGGCAAAAAAAACCTCCTAAAAACTCCTCTCAGAGATCCCCGTACAGACCACCGGCGGCCTCCCAAAACAACCCTAAAAAGGCTCCCGAGAGGCCCTCAGGAGGCCCCAGGGAAGTTCCAATGCCAATACTTAGCTCAACCTGCTTCGCGCTGCCCCGCTGCGCTGGCGAGTTGGCGGGGTGTGCCGCGGGCAGCTGGCTACAAACAATTAGGCCCGCCCCGCACAACGACCTCGCTCGCGCGCTACAGGGACACCTTGACCTTGACTGAACAGTTCGGAGAATGATTCCGCGAGGCTAGCATGGAAGATGCAGAGTGTCCTGCACACTGCTTGATACTGTTGTCGCATCCACACTTCCCAAACTTCGACAGCAGCATGGCGTCAGGAGGGAATCCTGAGGAGCGACAAATCTGAGGACTCCGCCCGCACCGCAAAGGTGCCAAATTGCGCGAGAGTCATCGGGCACTCCAGAGTGCGTCCAGGGCCTTGAAGTTTACGCGCCAATCAGCGTGGCTGCTAACGGCAGCGGCTGAGAGAGAGGGAGAGAGAAAGAGAGACAGAGAGAGGCATGGACGCATGGGGGAGATTGGAAAGATAGAGAGAGAGTGAGAAAGAGAGAAAGATAATAACACCAACGAGACATCTAGAGGTGAGGGAACGCATCTATTTACATACATGCATGTATGTATATATGTATATACATGTATATACATATATAAGTGTATATATAGATATGTATATATATGCGGTTGGTGGGGAGGCGGCGGTGCGGAAGCACACAGGACTGGGGCCCCCCCGAGGGCCCCATCCTTTTTCAAGTGGCCATAGCACTTCGACTCGGATCCGAGGGGCCCTCGACTCCACTATCCGCGCCTCATCGCGCTTGGCCAGGGACCCAGACGGTCGACCCAAGAATGGGCGGCACAGCGGCGTTCTGGGCTGCGATCTGAAGGAGTCGAGGCCGCTCGATCCTTGCGGGTCTTTACACAGGAAAAACAGCCGCCAAGGGTGGAAGCGGGCGGGCAACAGCGACTGCCATGCATTCTGTTTCTCGGCCATGTCTTACCCCGCACCCCCTGTTCCCCCTCCCCGGACTCATCTACCGCAAGCGTTTATAAAAGTGCGGTTGTGGGGAGGCGGCGGCGCGGAAGCGCGCGGGGCTGGGGGCCTCCCGAGGGCCCCATCCTTTTTTCAAGTGGCCATAGCACTTTGGCTCGGATCCGAGGGGCCCTCGACTCCACTCTTCGCGCCTCATCGCGCTTGGCCAGGGACCCAGACGGTCGACCCAAGAATGGTCGGCACAGCGGCGCTCCGGGCTGCGATCTGAGGGGGTCGAGGCCGCTCGATCCTTTCCACCCGCCCCACCCTGGCTATTTATCCGAATTCCACTTACTTCGAGAGACGAAAGAAGACGCATCATGATCAATCCACTTCTGCGTTTCACCTCTGAACTGCATCTCTGCTAGGATGGCGGCACCGTCTTCAATGCATATATATATATATATATACATACATACATATACATACATATGCATATGGATATATAGATATATATGTATATTGGCTGTCCTGATGGAGCTCCATCGCCCACGAAGCATCGCGCGCTCTAGATTCTTCGGAGCTAGACACTCGCGCGCGGCCCCGCCCCGACGGAGGCCGCGCGGAGTTAGGCGCGCGTGGCGGCAGCCAACACGTGCAGCAGCTCGCCTAAAAGCGGCGTGGAAGGCTGGGAGCGCACCGCTCCAAAGTTTGCCGGCCGGATCCAGCAACACCGCACGATGCATCCAGGCCCCGATGTAGGGATTGTCGGCGGCGACGGTTGCCCGGGCGCCTTTCTGGGCCGCTGTTTCGGCCCAAGAGAGACTTGCAACCCCTCGCCCCTGGGGGCCGATCTGGACCAGGGCCCGGTTCAAGCCCAGGATCTCACCCGTTCTCAGGCACAGGTGGAAGCCTCCGAGAACGCAGGCGGCCAGGGCAAATGCATTGCGCTCGAGCGCCCAGCCGGCCATTGCGGCCGCGACGCGAGCAGGCATCGGCGGCGCTCGGCTCGGCACCTCGAGGCGGGACCGCACCGAGAGGAGGCGCCATGCTCCGGGGCATTGGCGGCGCGAGCGCAGAAAATGCTGCACCCCAGACAAAGTGTCGTTCGCCTGCCCTTTCGAGGCTCCGATGCTCCAGAGATGCTCTGGATAATCCTGAAGGCAGAGATCCATATCGTTCCACGCGGCTGGCAGAGAGAGATGCGTTGCACTCAAGAGCCCGACAAACTGCTGGCACGCGCGCTGATATCTGTTGCGCGTTTTACTATTCACACGCGCGTCGGCCAGACGGCCAAGGGCAGCTCGGGTAGCGCGCCTCTCATCGGGCGAAGTGCGCTTACGCATTGGACAAGTGGAACGGCGCGTCCGCGGGGTTCTTCGCCGACGAGGTGAAGGCAAAGACCGCCCGCGAGCCGAGCGCCAACTTCGCGATGGAGAAGGCTGAGCTGCTGGCTCGAAGACCGGCGCTTGCCAAGCGCACCGATGCTCACCACGCGGTCAAGCAAGGGCAGTAAGACGCACATCTGTCGCGAGACCGACCGGGCCCGCCACCGCAGGGCCATCGGCGCCGCCTCGCACTCCAACACATTGATGTGCTTGGCCTGGTCTTGCCAAACGAGCTGGTGAGCGACCTTCCACTTCCAAATGCCAGCGTCGATCTCTCGCCGCGGGAACATCTTACCATCTGTCTCTGCGTCCGTGTCCACCCGAGCCCGAGAGGTGGCACGTCATCACAAGCGAGGCCGCCACCCTCTGGTGCTCGAGGATGGGCTGGGGGCACCCCCTGCCGCGCTGCTCCAGCTCCGCCAGCAGGATGTCCGCGTGGCAGGGCTGCCCCGGGGGGCAGTGGCAGAGCAGCCGGGCCCCCTCCAGTTCCTCCAGCTGGTCCAGGAGCTCCGGCTGGGAGCGCAACCAGCCCGCGAACGGCGCCGCCGCGTCGCCAGCCGGCCGCCCCGGCACCACGGGGCACGGGTTGCCCCACTTGACAGGGCCGAGCCCCCAGCGGCGCGAGCCGCGGCCGACGTAGATGGCGCGCGCCTCCGGGCCAGCGCCCGCCGAGGGCGCGCGCCCAGCGTCCGCCGCCGGGGAAGCCGCCGCAGGCGGCGCGGCGGCGTCGGGAGAACCCGCCTCGGAGACAGCGCTCAGTTCCGGCAGGCCCCCCTTCGCCTCGGCGCCCCAGCACCCGCGCGGGCGGCCAGCGCCCGCCCCCAGTAGGTGCAGGTTCTCCTCGCACACGGCCTCGCGTCGCCGGCCCAGAGCTTGCGGCCCATCGACTAGCTCCTCGAGCTCTCGTGGAGGCTCCGAAGGGACGGCACCGCCACCAGCAGCGAGTGGTGCACTGGCCAGTGGCTGAGCAACCAGGCCACGACCTCGCACTGGAACGAGTTCCCCACGAGCGACCGCTGGAGGGCCTTGTAGCGCTCTGGGTGGCTCTTGGCGGCCGAGCTGCTCACGCAGGGTACCGTGTGGCCCCGCCTGGAGCCCATCAACACCTCGCGCTCCACGGCCCGCGGCGGCTCCTTTCGCCCACCCGCCCAATGCAGGCAGAAGCAGTCCCGAAACTGATAGAGCGGGGCCGCGTCGCCCGCCGCCGTCCAGCGCGCCACCTCCTTCGGCGCGCACTGGCGAAGCCCGGCCGGGCGTGGCCGAGGCGAGCTCCGCGGCGCCCAGCGCGCAAAGATTGGCAGGCGGCCACTTAAAGGCTGGAGCTTCTTAGCCTAGTTGGGGGTTGTTTGTGGCTGGGCTGAAGTTACTTGTGTTCGGGCATCTGTTTCGCAAGTGGCTTAAGAATTTTGCAAGTGTTGTATGTATAATCGGGAAGCTTATAAGTATGTGTCAGCATTTGAGCACCGAGTTAAGTTACTTAGTATGTGCAGCTAAGTAACTCAGGTGTACTTAGAATTAAGCAGCTCAGGGGAACTTAGTGACACGTATGCGGAACTTACAACTTTCCGACATCTCCTCCCCCTTTACCCCCCCTTTCCCCCGCGCGCGCCCCTCCGCGCGGCAGGCGCGCCTCGCCGCGGGGCGTGCGCAGCGGCGTGCCAAGGGGGGATGAGAAGGAGTGGAGATAGCGATGGCTATCGCTTGAGGGAGGTAGTGGGATGATGGAGGGTAGCGATTGCGAACGCTGGAAGGAGACAAGTCCGATAGCGATGGAGATCGCTTGATCGAGCGATGACGATCGCCCCAGTGGAACAATGGAGGGTAGCGATTGCGATCGCTTGAGAGAGGGCGAGGGGGGAACGCCGAGGGGGAGATAGCGGTGTCGACCGCTTGAGCGAGGTATTGGGAGAACGGTTTGGAAGCGACTGATCGCTTGTGTGCTTCAAGGGGAGATGCGTTGAGGATGGGATTAGCGATGGCGATCGCTTGGAGGATGAAGTGGGGATAGCGGAGGGTTGCGATTGCGACCGCGCTTCGGGGGGGAAAGGGGTGAGAGTCCAACGAGGGCGATGGCGATTGGGATCGCTTGAGGGAGGAAGAAAAGGAAAGGAGGAGGGTGCCCATGAGGGAAATAGCGATGGCGATCGCTCCAGAAAGGTAGTGGGATGATGAAGCGATTGCGATCGCTTGAGGGAGGAGGAGACGGACGGTGATGAGGGATATAGCGATACCGATCGCTGGGAAGCGTTGGCGGGGCGATGAAGGGTAGCGATTGCGATCGCTTGCAGGGAGAATAGGAGAGGATATTTTAGGAGACAACCAGCGATGGCGATCGCTTTGGGAAGCTTGTGGGTTGATGGGGGGATGGCGGTGGCGACCGCTTGACGGCGCATGTAGCGATGGCGATCGCTTGGGCAGGTCGCGATATTGTTCGGGGCGATGAGGGCGCAAAGTGAAGATAAGGATGGCACTGCGATATCTAGGACGAGGAATGAGGGGGAGTCGCGAAGAGAGGGGGGGGGGGGGGCTGGCAGCGATTGTGATCACTCGAGTGGTCGGAGGGGCCGACTGTGGGAGGGCTCGACGTGTTTGCCGAGCGATCTCGATCGCTATGCGGCTACCGCCTTCTGCATGTAATCAGGGCGGCAGCCGTTGTGGCTTCGCGCGCGACGCGACGCGCGCTTCGCGCCGCGTGCGGGGCGCCACCTGGCGCCGTGGGAGCGGCGCGCCGCGCGATGACGGACGCCCAGGAGTTGCTGGAACAGCTGAGGTGCAGCCTCGGAGCGAGCCATGGAAAGAGCTGCTCAACGCCCAGGCGACGCTGGCGACGACCATGCTGCAGTCATGGTCTTCCATTTCGTCCGAGGACTCGGCCGAGCTGGTGCAGGCCATTTCGGAGCTGCCATTCGGCACGAAGCAGCGTGGTGATCTCCTGCGGGCTGTCACAACGTTCGCCACTGCCTCGGCGCGCGCGCTGGTTGCCAAAGCAGCTGCGTCCCAGAAGCTGCTGAGCAACTCTCGCACCCCCCAACAGGACTCCACGGCCATCACGGCCTACCTCACGGCGAGGCAGTGGGAGACAATACTGGACGAAGGCAACGACTTTCTGGGCCGCGCGGGGGTCGTGCTCCAGGCGTGCGAGACGCTCGGGTGGAGGACCGTCCACGAACCTACAGTCCAGGTTGCCTGCTGCATCGCGCTGCAAGTAGATGGCGCCGACAAGGCGCTTCGACTATGTCCCGCGACCCGTTGGGGCTACGACAAGCGCGCGAACAATTACGCAAAGAAGTTGCTCCCTTGGAAGCTGTGCAAGCAGATGGCGGAGTCCGAGGGCGCCTTCGTTTTGGCGCTGCCCGCTTCCCCTGTGGACTACGCCAGGTTGCATGCCGAGATGTGCGCGCGCGCGTTTCCCAAGAAGGGCCCAACGGCTTTTCCGTTGGATTCCACGCAGTTCATGGTGCTGACGGACGGCGTCCCCATGCGCGAGAGCAAGGCGCGGATTAAGGCGCTGACTGCGTCGGGCTCGGCGCAGGGCATCGCGCTGGCGCTGGCGGCGCCAGGGCAATGCGACGCCAGGGCAGTGCCGTACAGGCGGCACCGACCGTCGTCGCCGTTGCGGCTCGAGGGTGGCGGCGCCGCTTCGAGCACTGCCACGCCAGCGCGTCGGGCATCAGGCCTGCCAGCGCGGGAGGCCAGGGACAAGATCCCCGAGGAGCTCAAAGGCCGCAAGCCGAAGATGCCCCAGGAGAGCGAGGACGAGGGCGACGGCGGCAGCGGCAGCGAGGGGCAGATGCCGAGGCGGCGGGCGGCGCGTGCGTCGGCGCCGCGAAAGCGAGGGGCACGGGGCCACCCACCACGCCGCATGGCCACTGGGGGGGCGCATTGTGCGCGGTAGATAGAGTGACACCCACAACGGGTGATGACAGACCCATCTCATACCAAAGGGGCTGGCGACAAGGGGGGGGGGGGGAGTGGGGTAGATAGAACCTACCTTCCCAGAAGGCCAAGAAGAAGCCCATGAAAAAGGCGCCCATGAAGAAGGCGCCGAAGAAGGTGTCGAAGAAGGCGCCGACGACTGCGCCGAAGAAGAAGAAGAAGGCGCTGAAGGCGCCGAAGGTGGGATCGCACAAGGCAGGGAAGCCGTCCTTCTCCGTGGAGTGGAGCAGGGGCCAGGTCTTGTGCAGGACAGGCAAGCGCGGACCAGGCCAGTCGATGGCGCTCAAGTTTGCGAGGTTCGGTGGCGACAGCGGTAAGGCGATCGCGGCGGCCAAGAAGTGGGTGGCCAAAGCGATCGCGGGCGGCGCGTGAGTCGCACCCGCGCTGCGCTCGCGCCGCAGGGGTGCTGGCGCGCCATCTGCGCGGCACGGGGCCGCTGCCGCGCGCGGAGGTGGGGTACTTCGGCGCGGCGCGCGTGCGGAAAATGCAAAAGGGATGCGGCCGATATGAATGGCGAAAGGTGGAAGGCGTGATTGAGTAGCGGTTTCGACCGCTAGGAGGTGGATAGCGAGGGAGTGAGAAGGAGGGGACAGGAGGAGGATGATTGAGGGTGACGGGGGGAAGAAGGGGGAGGAGGAGGAGGAGGAGGAGAAGGGGGAGGAGGAGCGATGGCGATCGCCTGGGCGGAGCGGTGGCGACCGCTTGGGAGAGGTTGGGAGGCAGATCGGGGTTGCTGACAACGATGATGAAGTTTTCGCATGAGGTTTATAGCGATTGCGATCGCTCGGGTTCAATGATGGACTGCAGCGGGTGCGATCGCACGAGGGGGAGGCATGTGGGGCCAACGTTGGGGAAGGAGGGGTGGCCGGACGGGTGGCGATTTCGATCGCTTGGAGTTGCGTGAGGGCGAGCGCGATCGTGGCAACGATGGGTTTGCCATCGCGGGCCGTTTTGGCGCTGCGCGGTGCCACCCGCTGCAGCTGCGCACCGCCCGCGGCGCCCGCGGCTCTGCGCGGCGCCGACCGCGCTCGCGCGCGATGGCGGAGGAGTTCCTGTCCGCGGCACAGGCGTTCGCGTCGCAGCTGAACGGCCCTGGCGCCGAGATCGAGCGCGACAGCCAGCACGGCGGCGAGCGCGACGGCGCGGGCGGCAGGCGCGACGGCGTGGGCAACGAAGCCGTTGCACCAGTCACGGAGGATGACTACGCAGGGGAGGTGGCGTCGCCAGTGGATGTGCCACCGTCGCCGTCGCCGCCGCCGCCGCAGAGCTACAGCAGCTGTGCGGCGGAGAGCGGCGACAGCGCGCCGCTGCCGAAACAGCGCCACCCGCTGCGCGTGCCCGTCGGCATCTACGCGCAGCCGCCCGAACAGCCGCCGCCAAAGCGCCCGCGCCTGTCGGCGGCCGCGGCTTCGGTGTCGGACGCCCTCGACGACGCGCTCGCGAGCGCCGTCGCGGCACCGACGCCGCCGCGCTCGAAGGCGGCGCCAAGGGCGCGCGCGCCGACAGCAGCAACTGCAGACCAGGCAGCAGGCGCAGTCAGCAGCCGCAGCAGCTCCAGGTCCAGAAGCAGCAACTGCAGACCTTGCTGCAGCACTGCTTGCCGCAGCCGCAGCGTGGGCGAGCGCGTGCGAGAAGCGGGCCAACAACTACACGCCCGAGCAGGTCATTGACCTTCAGGCGGGGTCGGCCGCGGCGAAGGCAATGGGCCTGCGGTGGGATCAGCGCGGCCCCGCGGGCCCGCAGCAGGGCGGCCCCGACGCGTGGCGGGGGCAGCAGTACCGCGCCAACAGAGGTGTCTGGGCCAATCGGGGCGGTCGGAATCGCGAGTTCTTCAACGCGAAGTACGGCGGTGGCAAGAACAAAGGCAAGGGCTGCGGCAAGGGCATGGGCAGCGGCAGGGGCAAGGGCTGCGACAACGCCACCGCCGGCAGCACCGCCGCCAGCAGCACCGCCGCCAGCAGCGGCAGCCGCCAGCATGATATGCAGTACTTGTGAGCAGCGGCGCAGCCCGCTGCACCTCGGCAGCTGCGGCGCTTCGCGGCAGCCGCTGCGCTGCCGCGCTCGCTGCTGCGCCCGCTTCGCGGCAGCTGCGGCGCTTCGCTGCGGTCAGCTGCGGCAGCGCCGTGCTCGCGAGCGTCGCGGCGGCGGCGCGTTGCTTATAATC